CACAAACATCTATTTTTAGTTTTAATTACCTTGATAAACACTTCTCTGTTCCCAATGTTGCCTGAAGTTCTTTAAACATTCTCCAGAAATTGCTACAAAGCCTCTTCTGTAACTGGAGACTGGTGTTACACAAAACCCCAGAAGACAAAGCCTGGCTTTCCCGATGCATGATAGGAGCACAGCCCCGGGATACACGCAGATGCCGCATCTCCAGCACGCGCAGGGGCACGAGTCCGTCTGTTCAGTGCCCACCTCCATGCTATTACCAACAGGACGGAGCGCCCCAGATCCTTAGCAGTGCAACCGGGTCACAGCTTGCCTGAGAGATTCTATCTTGCTTCTGTCTCCAGAATGAAAGCTAAAGCTACCACCGCGTCCTTAATAGTTCTCTCCAAATGTGAGCTTCTGCGTGAGGTTTAACACAGTATATGTGCTCTTTCTTTACACCTGTGGTCATCGTTCTCATTATTTTCATCCTCAACCTCCGGGTTGTTTAGAAGAAGTGATCTTTACTCCAAGGCTTTCTGCCACTCCCACACCAGTGCCATCACTGAATTACGCATCCTGTCCAGTTTAACAGATTTTAAAGTTTTGAAATGGGCTATTTGTTGTTCGCCTCGCACTCACTTTTCATTCCTTGAAGGACGGGGTAATGTGCTGCTCACTTGGGGTTCTTGGTCCTAGCATGACACGGAACACACAGTCAAACCTTCATGTGTAATGATAGAAGGGAACCTTAAGTATTTTAAATAATCCGTGCAAAATTGAAATTAAACATTTTCCATTTTGTATAATATTATACATTAAACACACTTGTGAGTCTTTTTCAGAATTTCTTTTTAAAACCTAGTTCTGCACTGCATCCTCCAATTGTGTTTTATTATATAAATCCTCAGAAAAAGAGATGGATTAGAATTTTAAATTTCTTTGAAAGTACTGTATTTATGGTCAAACTGTTTCTCAAACAATTGGGTATAATGTTATTTTTAGAATGTGAAAAGAGTTATCATATTAAAAGGATTCTTTTTATGTATTCAATTTTCAAAACTAGATTCAAGATTGAAGTGATACTTGAGGATTCTGACATCTTAATTGATGGTAAAAATTTGGGCTATCAACTTTAAAATTGTGTTATATTATTTTAGCAGAGATACTCTCAAGTCTGTATGTAAGGTCTGTCTATTGGCCTGTGCATCGAAATATAGGCAAATATATATGTACACACATACAGACAGAGGGGAGGGGAGGAAGAATATAGGGAGAGGAGAGATGAGATTCCCCCTGCGTGAGCAGATGAAAGGGTGAAAGGCAGGTGGACTGACAAGGGTCTAAAGAGGCTTATATTCTCCAGTGACTTAGAAGAGCTTGCAACATTAGCAATATTTGGATGTTGAAAGAGCCCCCAGGGTTTCCAGAAGAAAATATTAGCTAGGATTTACCTCCACAGGGAGGTGCAGAGATAGCCTCTTGAGCTCTTCATGTCACACAGGCTTTCTAATTGTGTGTTGCTCTTCAGTTCTATGTCATCTTTAAAATTACATTTTGGCACTTTGAAAACTATATTGTATAATGCCAGAGAGAAGAGATCCGGTCAGCTTTTACTGCACACCTTGCCCTCTCTTCCTCTTCCCTGATGGCACTGCAGACAATTAAATTAAATCTTAAGGAGGGAGAATTCTTTCCAGTTGGGGAATCTGGTGAGGATGTGTATCTCTCAGGGTCATAGAGTGAAAAGACTGATATGTTAATTCCATGGATAACTGACAATGACATTGATGACTTGTGGTTTGTATTTTTTTAAAAAAATGTATGGATTTGAATAATTCGATTGGGTGCATGTGAGAGTGGCTCTTTGTAGCGACCAGTCCTAGAACTGCTTATAGGTGCTGTATTTTCTTCCATGCTGCGGGTTTGTGCTCCTCTGATGAAGTTGCTAAGCACAACGGATCTTGGACCTTTGTTTTTTTTTAAATGTTTCTTGAACATTTTCAAGTGAATCCTTGCTTTCATGACCTTAAACACTTTTGTATTTTTACTGTATGACTTACCAAATTTTTGCATGCTGGTTATGGAGTGTCCATGTGGATGCCAAATGCAAGAAGTGTAATTTTCTCCTTGTAGTGGAAGGTGCATTGCTATCCAGATTTAAAAAAAACAACAACTCAGTTTTCCATTCTATACAAGTAGCTTATGTAACAGACTGTGGCTTGCTGGCATATGTTCTTTGACTTCTTACATGCATGTCGTGCTCATGTTTCTTTACTCTATGAAACAATCAAATAAATTAATCTTTTCCTTTCTGTATTCTGTTGTAACCAGTGCCATGTAGTATGACAAAAGAATTCAGAATTATGATTTTCATAATATATATCTACTAATCTGAGGAAGGGCTTATGTGGAATATATTTAATATATTTGTGATTTGCTCAAGCCCACTCAATGCTAAGAGGCAAAAAAAGAAAGGCTGTCATTGCTTGACTGCTACTGAGCATGCATGGGG